CGCAGCTCCCCATGCAGGTCCCTGAGGTCACCTGTATTTTTTGGAAATTAATTTCTGTTTTTTGCAGGGGTAGGAGGTGTTTTAGAAAAATAAAGATACAAAATTTAAAATATAAATAAACAAAAAACTTGAAAAAAAAAGGTTTGATTGATTGATTGATATTGATTGATTGATTGATTGATTTTTTTTTTGTGTGTGTGTGTGTGTGTGTGTGTGTATGTGTGTGCGTGTGTGAAAAGGTTTCTATTCTTTTGTTGTTTTCGTTCACCTTTTTTACTGCACCACCGTTTTCGTGTCCGAGCATGTGGAAATACATGCTTGGTTGGCCATTTCTGGGCCCAGGACAACATTTCGCGAGCCTGCTGCAACGGGCACGAATACTGTTCACCTGAACCTCTACCGGCCCAGGTACTTGTCTACAAGGAAAATGAACACGACTGGTAGAGGGACCAGTAATGGCCATTTTTGGGCCCATACCTGTGGTTTAAACTGTCCCTTAACCAGACCATCTTAACCTGTCCCTTAACTCGACCCTCTTAACCTGACCCTTAACTAGACACCCTTGAGGGCGGCAAAAAAAAGCCAGCGGAACCCGACCTGTGCCTCTTGACTACTGTCTTCACCGGAATAGAACGCCTGGTGATTATTGCCCTATCTGGACTGACAGTTGCGCCAAATACAGCTAAAATGACCGGGCATTCTATTCGGGCGAAGACGGTAGACCCCCTTAACCTGTCCCTTGAGATTTCGAACAGAACTCAGAAGAAATGGGATCAAATTTCCTACGTTTTGCATTCAGCATGTCAGGGAGACCCGCAGCAAAACCCTCTCCCACTCTCTCTCCTTCTCTCTCCCTCTCCCTCTCTCTTTCTCTCTCTCCCTCTCCCTCTCTCTCTCCTTCTCTCTCTCTCTCTCTCTCTCTCTCTCTCTCTTCCTTCCCCTCTTCTTTTTGGGAAGAAGTGCGCGAAGCTGCAAAGGCCCACTTGTTGTGTTTACTGTTGACTGCTGCTTTAAATGACAATGAAGTTTCATAGTTATTTCTTGTTTTGCATGTGTGCATCCAGAGGGAGCAGAGAAGAATAGAGAGAATGAAGGACTTGTCTACGAGGTCGGCGCCATCTCTACAGAGTAGCAAAGCTTAGCGGACGTGGCACCTTTGACAGCAGCAAGACATGGTGATCGCCTCTCTGGTAGCATCTGCACCTTCTGCCAATCAGCTCACAAGTTTCTTCTTTGTTTTTTTTCCCCATTGCGTCTGCTTCGAGATTGTCATTTTCAACAAGCATGTGATCACACACTGCTGGGGGGAGGTCCCACTGCTGTTGCCACCCGAATACAATGTACGGTCATTATTGCTGTATTTAGACTGTAAAGAAACCCCCAAATAGAGCTCTATAATGACCGTAGGTTGTATTCGTGTGAGAAGACGGTAGCGCCGGGTTAGGCTTATGCCCAAGCCCGTGCGGCAGGTTCATTATGATCTTTCGGATGCAGAAGCAGGAGAAAGGCGCCAAGCCCAGCGAGAGGCGGGTTTGGGCATAAGCCCGTGGGCTGGAAGATTTTCAGTAGTTTTTTCCTACTTTTCTTGCAATAATCTGATTGGTAGAAAAAAAACAGAAAAAAGGAAAAGAAAAAAATCTGATTGGTAGAAGCAGTCCTTCAATCACGCAGTGGATGGAGGGCGTCACGATCACTGCTGACAGACATCTCATTTCTTTTTTTGTTTTTGTTTTTTGTGGCAGTTAGTGTTTTCACTGTTGTGGCAGCGGGCCTCGTTTCGCTACACAACACTCTACATGCATCTGGAGCCTACTGATGATCCGATACATTCGAAATGGTCGATCAGTCAAATGTATCTGCTCTTCCTGTTGTCCACATGCATGTCTAGTGGTGTCGTGGAGTGAGGAACCATATCTGCCACGGAATCAGGGCGTCACGACCACTGCTGACAGACGTCTCATTTCTTTATTTGTTTTTTTTTTTTTGTGGCAGTTACTGTTTTCACCGTTGTGGCAGTGGGCCTCGATCCACTACACAACACTCTACATGCATCTGGACCCTACTGATGGTTCGATACATTCAAAATGGTAGATCAGTCCAAATATATCTGGTCTTCCTGTCGTCCACATGCATGTCGAGTGCTGTGTCGTGGAGTGAGGGACCATATCTGCCATGGTATCATTTCGGATCTGATGGCTGGGAAAAGCACTGCTCTGTTATGATCTGGGAATGAGGTCTCGATTTCTTTCCTTTTTAGGTAATACGAAAATACATGTAAATACTGACTGTGGGATCACCAGTGATTGCAGGGAAGATTTGGGACCCCAAGCAGATTTGGGACCCCAAGCAGATTTGGAACCCCAAGCAATGGGGTACGCAATCGCTTGTGATCACAAAGTCAGTGTGACCCTAAGCTGGGAAGCAGTGCTAATGCGGTACGCCAGAGAATGAGGTACACAAAACTATTCCCTAACGTAACCCCCCCTCCCCCAACACACCCCCAACACACATGAAAAAAAAAAAAAAAAAAAA